TAAATTATTTTTAACTCTACTACGCTTGCGTATAATAACTTTCCACTTATTTCTAAAGTCTAAACGACCGTGACACGAAGAAGAATTCGGAATTGTTTTAACTGGAAGATTTAATGTTGGTAGTGAACCTGGTTTTAAAGTTGTTTTAATTGGATTAACAACTGACATATTAGCTTCGTAATGCTTTTCACAAATAAACAATAATTTTTTATTTATTTGGGACCTAAGGCTTTCATCGACTACTCTTTCCTTGGTTATGATATTCAAAACTTTCATTCTCCATTTTTTATTGAAATCATCATCCGAGGATGGTATTTTAAAAAGTGAACACCTTTATTTCTTCGAGAAGTACCACAGCCAAAAATGGAACAATTAGCACCAGGCATTTGCAAATAACAAGGTTAAATAAATATTTTTTTTGTTAATATTATTTTTAACGCGTTTTTGTTTACAAAAAGTGTGCACTCATTGGTAGACTGGGTTCTAAAAAAAAGCTAACAATAACAGAAACAATAGCGCTCTTAAACTGGCCAGACTATGTATATTATGACTATGGTTTAATAACAGGAGACCCCAATCAGCAGTATATTAATGGGCCAGAGCTGACGAGCCAGGTCCGGCAAAACACATGTGATCCAGTTAAGGGCCTTAGCTGGCGAACCAGAACTGGCTAGCCATTGCTGGACCATAAGCGTATCATTAATGGCTTGCCAAAGGTGCAAAAATGCATGGCGCAAAATGTTTTTAATGTAGATGCAAATTATACGGAGAGAAAAATATATTTATGTTTTCATTCAAGTATATAATTTTCATTATATCACATCTTGTATATTTATTAATCTTGGTTTTAGTTATAAGCTATTTTTGAAAGAAAAAAAATTTGAGAAGTTAAAATTATTTAATTTTAACTTTTATTTATTTATTTGTCCGAAATTATTTACGAGGAAATGGTTATTGATGGAGCCTATAACTGTGATTACATAGGTAAAACTGGGTTTTATTTTCCTTAGCCTATTGACGCTTTGCCCAAAACAGTTGTTCAAAGCAATGGCAAAAAACATGGATTGAACCTTTCAGATAATGAACCTTCCAACTGGATAACAATCTCAATATTTCTTATCAAATTAATAATGAAATTAGTGAATTTGAAGCTTTATCTGATAACGATTCAGATAAAAGTGATAAGAATATTGTAATAGATAAAATAGAGTGTGATTTAGCATTTTGATCTTCTCAGCATAATGTCACACAAGAATTCACTGATTTAATTTGCTGATCTATGACCAGAGCTGCTTAAATATTAATGCATCCTAAAATCTTATTTAAATTTGTGTTTTTTATGTATTTAAATAAAACTCCTTATATATATGTATTTTTTATGCTATATTTTATATGATCTCATCATCATTGTCATCATCCCCCATCTTTATTTTCCTTTATTCTATATATTTATTCAACCTTAATTATATTTCTATATAATTTCTTTATTTTTAATTTGGCGTTGAGTAAAACAAGTACTTCACTAAGTTTTAATTATTATTTGTTGACTAAAGTATACACTTATTAACTCTGTAAATGTTTAGTCTTAATGTTATTTTTACTGAACATCGTAATATCTTAAGGTATTATTTTGTATTTCATGCATACTTTTTATTGTATACTTCAAGGTGTTTATAATATACCATAAAAATTCTATAAACTATATTTTAACATTAGACATGTGTTTAGAGTACAGAAGTAACCTGATGAAAATTATTATAGTGACTCACAAGATTTTAAAGAACATCAAGAATTAAAAAAGTAATTAGATTATGAATATAAAATATAGGACATTGTTTTACTTTTGTTTAATACAGAGACAGGTGTCTGCAGACACCTGTCTCTGTAAAGCAAAAAAAGTCTTGTCTCTAGCAAAAAAAGTCTTGTCTGCAGACACCTATCTCTGTATTGAATAAAAGTAGAACAAGATTGGAAAAAGTGATCATAATTACCTCTGTGATTAAGGTATTTTGATTTCTAATTTGTAGCCTATTGCAAAACATTTTATGAATTATAACTAATGTTAATAAAAAAAAATGAATTAAATTGTTTGACTAGTGGTAACAATTTTTTTTAAGGTGAAGGTAGTAGCAGCAAAAAGGGAAGTAGCAAAAAAATTGAATTGGACAGGGCAAGATGATCTTCAAAAAAAGTTTTTCCAAATTCTTAAATTTCATCAAGTTATTGAAAGTAAATTAATAAATATAATAATAAATAAATATAAATATTTAAAATTGTCTTTCATTGTTTTCTTCACTTTATTGTCATTTATTAAATTTATATATTTGTGTTTCTATGTGTGTGTGTGTTTATATATATATATACATACATACATACATACATACATACATACATACATACATACATACATACATACATACATACATACATACATTCATACATACCACAGTGCTCCCCTGCGACCGCCAGGGTAAATTTTGGTTTAGTCTAAATTTTTTCGCTGGAAGTTATTATTAGGTTTAAAAAAGAAGTTTTAGACTGTTTTTAAAATTAAAACTAACTGCTAAGCATACAAATTATTGATTTATATGCTTAAATATATTAGGAGGAAATGACGTCATTTTTTTTTTCATTTGGTATTTAGATAATATCTCAAAAGCTTTATTATTCCGGTAATCAGTTTTTCAAAAAATGATCACGAAACTTGAAATTTTTGCCAAAATGGCTGAAATTGAATTTTCAATTTTTGTGCTATAGAAATTTGAAGAAAATAACAACTTAAAGTTATCCATATTAGATTCAAAAATGATAAAGTAGATGAAAAAAATTTGTTTTATCTTTAATATATAAACAGTAGTTCTGTTTTTAATTAATAAAT